GCCATCTCTTGGCTAAGTCCAAGGGTTGAGATAATGCATTATTGGAGGTACCACCTTTAATAACTGAAATTCAATTGCTCTTTGGTTTCATGATCTCTGCATGTGCCTAGCTTTTTGTTCAAAAGTGATGTTATCATTTTGTCCTTCAGGTGCTGCTTTCCAAGCCAGGTTTAATGCATGCTTCCAAGGACAAAACTTTTGGAAGACATTTTTGTGTCTTTCAAGCACAATAACTCTAAACTGATGATAGTCAACCCAGTAACAGCATGAACCATCATAGTCAACAAATCCTATATGATAAAAGCCGAATATGCTAAGTGTCCAGTCACCGGTCGACTGTTCAACCAATCAAAGCGTAATATGCTATTGATATGCTAAGGCCGCTCAACTGCTTATTATGATGTGCACTGACCACCAGGGGGCAGACAGTTGCTATGATGTGCACTGACCACCAGGGGGCAGACACTCTGACTGGTAGATTAGCTTGCTGCTGGGAACTGGCTGATTGGGACTGAGCAAGATTGGCCAGACATGCCCTGGAGCCCTCCCATGGTCCCTCCCCAGCCTGGTCATGCACCAGTGGGGTCCCTCGGCCTGGCCTGCATCCTCTCACAATCCGGGACCCTTCGAGGGATGTCAGAGAGCTGGTTTCGGCTGATCCCGCAGGCCACTCCCCTCAGGAGGGCACCAGATGCAGGGCTCATGGCTGGTGAGCACTGCTGCGGCAGCACAAGCCTCTCCCTATTGGGACTGATTGGGCACGAGCCCGCAGCAGGCGCAGTGAGGCCGGGATGAGCAAGAGTGGCAGGTAGCAGCTGCAGGCAGCGTTGGACTGCGGGTTTTGGCCCGATGCCCACAGGCCACCCTGAGGGACCCCATCCGTGCATGAATTTGGGCACTGGGCCTCTAGTTCAAATATAATTGTTCGTGGCTGAAACCTTGTTCTCTCAGATGCAAGCTCCAAAATGCTAAGGGTAGGGCTAGCTAAAGTCAATGAATAACAAGTATGTTTTAATTATCATTCACTTATTAAAAATTCATTCAGGTTCAGGTCTACAAGCAGGTAAGTCATCAGTGGTTTCCCAATTCCGGGCGGTGATATCAAGAAGGTCATCTCTCTGATAGAAGTTCCTGCCAATTCTGTTTATCTTCTTTGGAGCTATAGTCAAAAGACAGGGCAGAGGGTTGTGGGGAGTGTTCTTGTTTCCCTGTCCTACTTTCTACCTTCTCCTCTTCTCATTATTTAGAGCAGTTGCAACTAGAGACCTTTGCTAAAAAAGTGTGCCTTTTATTTATGGGAAGGGGCAATTCCCATTGCTGAAGGGCACAATGGGCAAAATAGGAACACAAACCAGCTACAACACAAATCCAAGCCCTTATAATAAGAGTGGGACATTGTGACAGTCATTCTTTTGCAGCAGAATGCTGTTGCTACAGCTATGCTTTTCACCTTAGTTTCAAGGCCCTCTACCATACCATACTTTTGTGGCTGTGCATGTGTGTAAGTGTGTGTGTGTTATGTGGTGGAGGCCAGAGAATCCTGAACAACAAGGTTCAGATTTCAGTAATCTTGGAGAGCTGCTGTCAGTCAGCTCTAAAAGGGGTCAATCTGAGAACACAAAGGGGACTGTAGCCTGCCAGCTGAAAACCCTTTCAGATGGGTCAACTCAGAGGTGACGGTATTGTTATTAAGTGTTTCAATCTTTGCTTTTGGCTGTAGGTAGATGTAGTTTCTTTTCCAGAAAGCTCTGTGCCTTTCAAAACAGAATATTAACATTCTCTCTACTTTCAGGGGCTTACTGCCCTGTGGCTTTCTACTCATTCGTTTACTAGTATTGATTTTGTACTACACCTTCCAGCCTTCACATATTGTCATAACCTACCAAAGCCCCAGAAAACAGGCAGGCTTTTGCAGAAACCCTAAAGACAATTAAATGAAGCATCTGAGAATGTCAGGAGGGATAGTTAGTGAAACCCCTTAAGGGACTTCAGTGTGTGCTAGGCATCTAAGGGTAGATGTCTTGGTGGCTGCATATGTCATCCATTCACCATACCTATTTGTATAGTGCATGTTAAGGGAGAGTGGTAAAGGGAGGTCATTGAAATAAAGCTCACGAGACTGAGGTGTTGATTTCTGTGCTGATATTAGATATTTCTGTTATCTGAAATAAGGTTTTTGGGTTGAACGACTAGAAGCATGTAGTAACTTTTAAAAATTGGGGAAGACTCATTGTAGATAGCAGAGGGATTTGTGATAAAGAATAGAATTTTGATTTTGGGTACATTAAAATTTAACATCCAAGTAGATATATCAAATTAGTCAGTTGACCATATCAGTCTGGAATTTAGGAAAGAGGCCTGAGCTGGAACTATAAATTGGAGATTTATGACAAAGATATGGTATTTAAAGATATGAGACTAGAAGAGATTACCAAGGGAAAGAGTATAGAGAAGAGGGTGAAGGACTGAGCTGTGGGGCATTCCAATGTTAAAAGATCAGAGAAATGAAGAATAAACCATATATAGGCCAAAAAAAGGTATGCAAGCTAAGTTTGATCCTTGGACTAGACTAAGAGTTTGGAAATTTCATAGGAGTTCAGAACTAGGAGGGACCACACGGAACATCTATTTCAATCAAGAATGCTAAACTAAGAAATAGGAGACCTCAGTTTTAGTCCTGATTTTATACCTAGGTGAGTGACCTTGAAAAATCACTTAACTACTCTGGGTTTCCCTTTTGTACCTAGAAAGAAAGATTGCTAGACTAGATGATCTCTTCATTTTTGCAGAGAGAGGGGAGAAGTGATTTTACCAACATCCTGGCATTAGGCCAATGTGTCTTCTTATGTTGTTAATTTTAAACCCTAAATGCATACTAGACTTTCTGGGAAGCGTTTAGTAAATACTGATTTACTGGGTTCCAAACCTACTGTGCCTTATTTTGTTGGTCTGGGTTGGAATGGAATTGGTATTGGTATTTTTTTATATTCCCTGGATAATTTTAATGTACAGCCAGGACTGAAACCCTCTGCTCTGCATTAGTAAGGCATGGCATGTCTTGTTAGCTGCTGCAACTCTCTGAATCTTGACTTGTATGTCCACCACAAAAAATGATTCACTCGATATTAAATCTTTTAATTCAGATGAATGTTGTTACAGGAGGAATAGCTTTCTAGACCTTGTGAAACCAACATATCAAGTTCCCTGAAGTTCAGTTAAATGGTCTGACCATAGTTTTCTTGAATTCCATCCTAGAAGTGAAATGTTATGAAAAACCATGAAGCCATAGCTGGTGTGGAGAGGGATGGAGAGATGGATTGTGCCCTCTTCCTTCCTACCTTTATGGAAAAAAGATACAAGATTTGTTACAAAAATAAACTTACAAGGTTAATGAGTACATCAGACATAGTACACAAATACTTTTGTTTTATCATATTTATAAAGCAGGCAGAGTCATGCTGTCCACCGTAGCAGCCTTACTGCTTTATAGTGGCTTGTCACCAAGGCTTTGCACTTTGAATACCAATAAGATATAGTGTCTCTTGATAAAAACCACATTCTCCATATACTACATTTTGCTCTGTATTTGTGGGTGTGTATATGTTAGTATGCATGTTTGCATGTGTATGTGTGGGAATATGTGTTTAAAACTGTATTCTAGTGGTCACTTTCTCTGGGGTGCATCTGTCTAGGACAGTGGTTGTCAAACCGCGGCTCGCGAGCCACATGCAGCTCTTTGGCCCCTTGAGTGTGGATCTTCCACACAAAATGCCACGTGCGGGTGTGCACGTATAGTGCAATTGAAACTTCGTGCCCCATGCGCAGAAGTTGGTTTTAGGCCTGGGTGAGTCTATTTTGAAGAAGTGGTGTTAGAAGAAGTGGGGGGTGTCGGTCGGTCGGGCGATGGGAGACACGGCACAGGCGGGCCATGGGATATGCAGCATGGGGGAGGTACATTGTTTTGAGGTACGTTCGCTGAGGTCGACCCCTTCCAACTCTCCCATCCACACTCGTCTATCTGAAACAAGTATACAAGACGAGTGTGGATGGGAGAGTTGAAAGGGGTCGACCTCAGCGAACGTACCCTCAATGAGATTGAGGACGTTTTTAGCAAAGGCCAGCTTAGGAGTACCCTAATTAAGTTAATAACAATGTACCTACCTATATAGTTTAAGTTTAAAAAATTTGGCTCTCAAAAGAAATTTCAGTCGTTGTACTGTTGATATTTGGCTCTGTTGACTAATGACTTTGCCGACCACTGGTCTAGGAGAATAGCCATTTTGAACTAAGACAGGATAAGACGTGGACTGTGGAAACATTATAGTCTTAACACATGTACTTACCACTCTAGTAGTGCCAGCAAAATGATTTTATCATACATAATGCACCAGTAATTAGCCTGGTAAATTTCCGTTGAGTGCCTCTTGTCTATTCCATACATGTTTTTGTGGGGTTTTTTAAATATTTTTTATTGATTTCAGAGAGGAAGGGAGAGGGAGACAGAGAGATAGAAACATCAATGATGAGAGATCATCATTGATTGGCTGCCTCCTGCACGCACCCTACTAGGGATCGAGCCCACAACCCGGGCATGTGCCCTTGACCAGAATCGAGCCCAGGACCCTTCAGTCCACAGCCGACGCTCTATCTACTGAGCCAAACCTAGGGCCATACATGTTCTTTTTAGTGCCCTTTATAATTCTAAATCAGTTTCTTAGATTAGAGATATAAAAATATATTCTGTATGACTTGGCTTGCCCATAAAATTATCATATTTGTTATATTTAAAATTGTGAAGGCCTGGGGAGAAAAACAGAAAAATTCAGGGGAGAAAACAAGCAGGTCCTCAGAAACAATTGTTTTTTCCCCTCTCGGTTTTCAGAGCTCTCTTCCACTCAGACGTGCAGCCCATTATAATGAACACAGGTTTGGAATATACTCGGAGATTGCTCTAGGCTAGGGGGACTAGGGCTGAAGATAATTGTAATTTTTAAAAATAGGTTTCACCGTTGTTTGGAACCATCTACAATTCAATTTACCTTATCGCACAAGCCATGAATAATGCTGTGAAAGAAAATGGACGGGCTAGTGCTGCCAGCCTGGTTCAGCATTCCAGAAACATGCAGTTCTGTGGATTCAACCAGTTGATAAAGACAGGTTCAAATTGAAATGGAATTTCAGAATATGAAATCCTGGACACCAACTGGAAAGAATGGGAACTCCATGGAACTTACACTGTGGACATGGAAACAGAGCTGCTACAATTCATAGGGACTCCCATTCACTTCCCTCGTGGCAGGCCTCCTGGAGCAGATGCAAAATGTTGGTTTGCAGAAGGGAAGATCTACTGAGGAGGTAAGGAATGGAAAATCACTGCTAGTCAATTTGATTCAGCTTGGTGTACAAGGGAACCTCTTTAGGGGAAGGCATATTTAAATATTAGAACACTCATAGAATCAATCATTTGCATTCAGATGACATAAATATCTTGGCATGCTGTGTAGTCAACTTAAAATAATAAGGACAATGAGAAGTACTTTACAGCCTTGAATAATCATCCACAATTTAAAAGCTTCCTCCACTTGTTACATTTTTTAATTTAAAATTTTATTTTTTCAATTATAGTTTACA